ATCGTATAACTTCGTATAATGTATGCTATACGAAGTTATTACGAGAGAGAGAGAGAGAGAGAGAGAGAGAGAGAGAGAGGAAGACAAGGAGAAGAAATTACATCGTTTGAATATACGCTCCATATCACCGGGGACTTTTAGCGAACTGCGATACGGAGAGAGGGCTGCTAGTGACTAACGTTATCCAGCGAGCGGGCGCGAGAGGCGACGACGTCGCGTGCGAGGCAGACGGCGAGAAGAGGTCGGGACGCTTGTGCCTAGGTGTATATCTTGGCCGAGACATGAAAAATGCATCTAACAGCCCTCGAGGCACTTCGCCATTCAAGTCCACGGCTATCCTCCTGCCAACCTGCCACCACTTTTCAGATCAAAAGTTACCTGCTCGCGTAACTTTCCCGTGTGCCGTCTACCAACACAGCATACCACCACCACCACCACCACCATCAACATCACCATCCCCCCACCCTTCCGTCCAGGAAAAGCCTCTGCCTATCTCCCGCTTAACAAAGCACGCGAAACTCTATTACACACCGGCGCATCCCCGGCTTATGTATTTACCCGATACGACGTAGGTACGTTAGGTACGTACCTACATGGGCGTGAAACGTTCTCCGCGATCGACGTGCTGTAACGCCTACCGCCGGTCCCGTGGATTACTTTCGCGGTTTTAACCGAACATTCGTACGGTTTCCGAAAACAGGCAAATTCCATCACGGACAAATTAACTATTCCTTTAGTATTTCATGTGCAAAACTAATCATTTAAATCGCGTTTTATTAATTCCAAAATAATTACTTTTTAATTGTATAATGTTTTCCGTAAATGTATGCAAATTGGATTTAGACAATTGTTAACGATATAAACAATATATAGCAGTTTCTAGGTAAAAAACAATTTTTTTCTTATTCAAACAGGGATATGTATACTAACAGTTGTTGCAAAATTAGAATATTGTTGCCAATTATATTAAGTGGCGGTACCACACTAAACACTTTTATCAATAAAATAAAGAATTTAATTCGTGCCAATTAAGCAACTAATATACATATCACGTGTAAATTGTAAGAATGATTAACTTACATTCTCCGTTGTCGTTATTTATCTTCGACTTTCAAGAGAACTAATTCCTCCTAATTCCAGGAAAATGTATGAACACATTCGCTTACCTGTAACAGAAAAAAAGTATACATAAGTATGCAAATCTATTATCAAATAACATCGTAAATAATGCATACATGAGCATTTACATTTTCACAAAGAAATAATTTCCATATGTGTAAGAATTTCTTTCGCTATTCAGATCTTAAGTTATTTCAAATTTTACAATAAATTTTACATAAATAAAAAATAGAAAAATATCCCAACATATTGTATATAATATGTATAAAACATTTGAGATGTATTTAAGATTAAAATTATGTTCACAGAAAAATATAGATACATTTAAATATTTGAAGGATGTATACCATATATGTCAAGCTACGCAGTCAAGAGTTAAAGCAGAGAGAATTTGCTCCTGAATTTCCACTGAATGTAAATTGGCGAAATACACTCATTGTCAGTCTATTTTCACATTACGTTTTCTTTTTCTTTTCTCTGCTATTACGAACGTAAGAAGATATATCGCCATGGCGCTCCTAGCCGCTAATTTGTTAGCAAAGGTAGCTTTTAAGACCATCGTCCATTATTACAGCGTACATATTACGCTAATGACACCTGTCATACGCATTACATAATTAACGTCGGCGCGATACGTTTGTTCATTGCTGGCACTCCCGATATACGCAGCTGGCGGAAGGAAACCAGTCACTATTCCGCTATTACGCGCAGTCTCTTGTTTACCATGTATTTAACCAATTATTCATCAGAAATCTACTGTAAGACTGTACATCCCATTTCTTCGATTCGCACTCATCCGTAACAGAATGAGTCGGGAAGTAACATTTCGGTAACATCCCTCTCGCCGCAAACTATTCTTTTTGTTTATTTCAAACATAAGTAAAATACCTAAGAAATACATTTAACATTAATGTACATTTTGTTCATTTTTATGCTTGAAAATCTTACATCATATCACATTTGGCAGGCCTAGAACTTTACAATGTAATGCATTGAAATCTTATATTTTAAAGAAATTTTAACATTCTAAACCATTTCTTTGTTAAAATATAAAATTTTAATGCATCGTGATGAAGAAAATGTAAATTTTAAATTGCCAGACCTACCAATTTTTGTAGTATAAGATTCCAGTGTCTCTAATAATGAATAAAATGTATACATATTCTCGGCCATTTCTAAAATTCTAAGCATACCAAATGTTACTCTCTTTTAACATACGAACCGCTCTGCAATAAATTTCCCAGCAATAGGTCAAGGAGCGACCGACGATATCTCGAAAATTAAGACATGTGAATTATACGTTCACGAGTTATGACGCTATGATAAGTCCCTTCTAAAAGTCCGATAAACGGCAGCCTGGCAACGTGGCCAGCAAAATTTGGTGGCTCTATTCAAATTTTTCGAGCCGGCAACTAATTCGAGACCGTCATAGATACACGCGCATGTATCATGCCGGCGGGTCGGCGGTTGCATATATGTATATCCCCGACAATGGGAACCGTAGCCTGTTATCTCGGTTCTTTGTATTCAAATTGCCACGGAAATACAGCGGGCAGATTATGTGGAATAGACATTTATCGTGGAATTATGAAACGCCGTATTGTAATAATAATACGATATTACTCGCCGGTTTTAATTAGTTTTTTGTACGTTCCCTTAATCGATGACAAAGATTGCAAACCGGTAATGCGGAATAATAGCTACTTCGATGTGCTTTACGGTGCATTTAAAGTGCAATCGTAATTGTGCTTAGAATACTGAGAAAATATCGACACCTTAAGAGCTTCGGCAAAAAAAGACCAATGACAATTCATTGCGCAATTATGTTTTTGCCAATGAATTGGAATGAATTCTCGCACAAAGTTCTCGCAGCCTTGCCGTTCCACCTTGTGAACTGAATAAATATAATTAGTGTCCTGGTTCCCATTACATATCCGTATCAAATAACTGGCATCAGACTCGCATCAAGATATATTCTCTTTTTTCTGTTATATTATTAAAACTGATTATACAATCATAGTTAGATAACAAACTGTAACAAAGACCTTATTTTAAATAAATTAAATATCAAATGTTAAATTGGACATTTTTTAAATATAAATTTACAAAAATTCAAGATTTTCTAAAAATTTAAGTAGAAAAAATCAAACACATATCTCACGTGTGAATGCAATTTAACTGATTGATAAATTCTTGGCATTTGATGATCTTCTCGTTACTTATTACGAGCGATGAAACATCCCAGATAATAACTAAGTTATGAGACCCTATTAATGAATGATACAAACGCAGAGGCTATGCGTGATAAACGATAATCCTCCCAAACGTTTCCCTTGTCGGCTCGTTGATCGTGGCTGTCAACGTTGTTGATTCATGGCGTACAAGAGATTTGGTGATAACGAATTCGATGGTACATTACACCGACTATTCAACACAATCGACTGCTTGTTAGTAGGATCAGAGATTTGTATGTGGATTAAATCGTCTAGACGAACGTTGCGAACGAATAAGATTTCGTTATTAATAAGCGACGTAACAAAATGCAAGTAAAAAAGAAATATCATTGGAAAATATTGTGCAAATCGAGTAACGGTAAAATATTTGATGTAGTACATGTAAGATTATGCTTCCAAAAATATATTTCGACAAATAAGATTTAATATATTCAATCTTTTTTTAAATTTAATCGCCATTAGTTCAGAAAGTTATTATACTTTGCAACAAGTCCTTAGAAATAGAATAAATAAAAATATGCATCATCCAACTTTTGCATTCAAAGTTTCTCCGCAATTTTTAATAAAAATTGTTAACTCTTCTGTGGCACATTATCATTTCTGTCTAACACAACATGATAAAATTTAATAAGAAACATAAGTTCTACATTTTACAATGTTAAACTTTGCTCTCATACAATAACTGAATTTTGGCATTTCGTGCCAACTTAAACTGGGTCAACTTGGCTGCCTCATCCGTGGTTAATGACCAATTAGAAACGGTTGTCCAACAGCCCAGCAATGTTCATGAGACTTGTGCGTGATTAAAATTCATTGGTCGATTATCCAGAACAGAAGGATGAGCGTGCAAGAACAGAAATAAAAAGTCATTCGTTCATCATCTCATTCTCCGGCTCGCTTTCTACTCTGTCTCTCTTTTAAAACAAATTTCCGTCTAAGATAATTTGTCATTAAATACAAGAAACACGTATATAAATATAAAAACGCGCATGAATATCTGTAATTACGAAAGGAGAGATAAGCGTTAACGTCGACTGAGGTTGCAATAAGCTCCATGTATTTGTTAATTATAAAAAAGGCGGTTGTGTGAGTCGAGGCTGCAGTGACCCAAGGTTGCAAGAAACTACGCGTCAGCTCGGCGGGTTTATTAATTAGGGAGAAAGAGGTAGCATCGAGTAAAATGTAGCGGTGGTTATGTGGTTGCTTATGCTCCAAGTTTGCAGTAATCACAGTCAAGCTGGCATATTTAATCGAAGGGAAATGAAAGAAGCTAAAAAGATAAAAAATCGTAAAAAGAAAAAAAAGAGAAAAAAATCAGAATAAAAAGATCAATGGAACAAATATTACAATATTCTTGCTTTGCTTTCACGCAAATGTTGGAATACATTAATATTATTTCTAAGAGCAACGAAGAAGAAGGAAAGAGGAGAAAGAGAGTCGGCGAAAAAGAGAGGGAACTAAAGCAAAGTTACACTTAGCAACAATGTGTTCGGCGGGCACGACGACGGCACAGTTAACATAAGCGCATGATCGGAATCAGGCGACACTATCTGATTACGGAAAGTTCGTTAATTGGCAAATTGCGAGCATGAGTCATACGTCGGGCCGGGTAGGTAGATAGGTAGGTTCGGTGAGTCACGTGAAATTCTGCGCTCCCTTTATGGTTTGCACGCGAGTGCAACGCGCTGATCGGTCGAACGGCTGGTTACGTGCATATGCGCGACTTACGCCTGACGATACCCCGACAAGCGCCACACACCAGTCATTCGTTTTCGACGTTATTCGTTCTCGGTACCCTCGTCTCCTAGTTAGTTTCTCGAATTATATATTTCGACGCACGCGGGTTAGCAACTCGGGCGCATTGTCTTCGCGCTCGCAATCTTCGATTTTTCACGCCGGGATAATCTAATTGCAGCATGCCACTTCAGCTGGCATTCTCCATCAACGTTTGAATACGTTCCAAATAGAGTTGTATCCGCTGACTGACCCCAGCGAAACGAAGCGACACACACACACACACACACACACACACGCTACTCTCATTATTTCAAAATAACGATGTGGACATTCGTTCTCTCCAATCGGCCATTGGCGAATTCGCCTAACATGCAGCACTTTGTGCCACTTCTTGTAGAACAGTCTCTTCTTATAAAGTTTCCAGAATTACTGGCACCATTCATTTTGCACAGCGGACATAATTTATCTACCAAATACACGTTACAATTTTCGTCTATGACTCACGAATTTACTTATCTCGTTTAAACGAGATCCCACTTGAAGATAAATCTCGCCGCAGAGATAATTATGCTTCTAATATCCAACCGTGTTAAGTTTAACGGAAATAAAGTTTACATTTAAATTAGCGTAAGTAACAAGTACTTGAAATAGTATTATTTTAAATTTATCAAAGATTTAATAAGGAATTATATAGGGTATATAAATATTATAGAACTGCAAATTAGAAAACTTTTATTTTGCTCCAAACAAGCACAATTACGGAAACAACGTTTTGTCGGAGGACAGTATGATGTGAAGTACATAAATATAAAAAGATAAGAGAGAAGGCGGAACGGGGCAATCAACATAAGTCGCAGCTATTTTCTTCCGCTTACCGTTCGCCAGGAGCACGTAAGTAAAAAGTCATTTTCCTTAGCGGAAGACACATTCCAAAAGGTCCGACGAATCTCTACGCAGAGACTACCATTTTGTGCCCGGACCGTGAGAGAAATAAATTGCCGCCGGGCAAATCGTATTTTATTTCGCGCTGGTAAACACGGCGAAGTGAGTTTAC